CTCTCTCTCTCTCTCTCTCTCTCTCTCCCTGTCTCTCTCTGCCCCTCTCCCCAGTGGTGTGCACTCGCTCTCTCTAAAATAAAATAAATTAAAATTTAAAAAGAGGAGGGTCTAGACGTGGTGGGGGGAGAGCCCGGATGTGTGTGGGCAGGGGCAGGGGTAGGGTCTGGAAAGACAGGGAAGATCAAACGGGAGACCGTGCACGGGAGGCACCTCTCCTGGTGAATCTCCTGGAAAACCATTATTCAGAAAAGCTTGGGGGAGGAAGACTGTGACAGGTGCCGAGGGTGGCCTGGGAGGTGGAGGTGCATGAGAACAGAGGCTGCCATGGGGGTTCCAGCAGACCCGATGGAGGGGTTGGGGAGTGAATCCGATGCTGGTGGAGGACGGAGATGCACCTTGGCCTCAGAGACAGCGGGAAGCAGGAGCGCCACCAAGGGCGCCCAGCCCGGTTCCCTCACTGCAGACTGTTGCCCGCAGCGGCAAGAGCAGCACGGCCAGCAGCTCTTGGACGTGACTTCCGGCCTCCGCCTCGGCCAGGAGCCCTACTGGCTCCAGGCTGGCGCAGACTCCCAAGAAAGGGCTCTGATTGGCTTTGCTCCAGCCAGGACCCGCCCCCCGACCAATCAGGAGTGGCCAGAGGGTGGTGTACTATAAGGACTGGGGCGCTGTGGGAACCACACAGTTGGGTGGGTAGGGGTGCCTTGGGAAGAAGGGGGAGGGTTCGGGGCAGCAGATTGGGGGGTGCCCTCCTGAGGTAGGGGGCACATTGCCTGAGTGTCTACTTTGTGCAGAGACTTTAACTCCCATAAAATATTCTCACCGTCAATTCGCAGATGCAGAAACCAAGGCTTGCACGGGGTATGGGATGGCATAGCCGGTAAATGGTGGAGCCGCGATCAGAGCCCCGGTCCCCGCATGCCAAAGCCTGGCTGGCCCTGTGGGGCCTCTCCTTCGTCTTTACAAACTCTCTTGTGCAGAGCCGCAAGCCTTTTTGCGAGATGGTAAGGCCTCGGAGGCGGAGACCACATCCCATCCCCAGGGCAAGGCGTTTCTGCAAGTTGAGTCTGGGCAGATCCCCAGATATCTGAGACCCCGAGGAGTTTGCGCCGGTAGAGAAAAGAACAACACACATTTGGTGACATAAATTTCACCAATGTGTGATGCAAGGTTGATAATGATGATTTTGCAGAAATCTCCCTGGTGCTCTTAATAATCATTGTCCTGGGGGCACCTGGGTGGCTCAGTCGGTTAAGCGGCCGACTTCGGCTCAGGTCAAGATCTTGCGGTCCGTGAGTTCGATCCCTGCGTCGGGCTCTGTGCTGACAGCTCAGAGCCTGGAGCCTGTTTCAGATTCTGTGTCTCCCTCTCTCTCTGACCCTCCCCTGTTCATGCTCTGTCTCTCCCTGTCTCAAAAATAAATAAAACATTAAAAAAAATTAAAAAGGGGCTCCTGGGTGGCGCAGTCGGTTAAGCGTCCGACTTCAGCCAGGTCACAATCTCGCGGTCCGTGAGTTCGAGCCCCGCGTCGGGCTCTGGGCTGATGGCTCAGAGCCTGGAGCCTGCTTCCGATTCTGTGTCTCCCTCTCTCTCTGCCCCTCCCCCGTTCGTGCTCTGTCTCTCTCTGTCCCAAAAATAAATAAAAAACGTTGAAAAAAAAAATTAAAAAAAAATCATTGTCCTAAAGGCTGCAGGTGAGCGACAAGGACTGTCCTGGCCCGTTCACCTCAGCCTGATGTATTTGCATATTATTTGCCTGTTAGAGTTTACATGTGTTAAGTTTGCATTTTCTTTATTACTATAGTATTGC